TGCGGTATATCTGTACCATAGAACAACATTCAGCAATAAAAAGAAACAAGTGCTCATACATGGCACAACATGGATGAGCCCCTAAAACAAGTGAAAGCAGCCAGAAATATCCAGAAAAAGCCAATCTAGAAAGATAGGACACAGATCAGTGGTTTTCCAGGGCTGGGGCAGGAACAAGGACTACCGTAAACAGGTACAAATGAGCTTCCTGGGGTGTGGAAACATTGCAAAACTAGGCGGTGGTGGTAGTTGCACAACTCCATCAACTGCTAAAAAGAAATCACTGAATTGTACCCCAACACAGTGAGTTTTGGGGTCTGTAAGTTACATCTCAATGAAGCTGTGTGAAGCACACACACCTCTGTTGGTTTCTGGGCTCCTGTGGCAGCAAGCAGCTCTGGCTTTCAGAGCGCCACCCTGGGCCGGGTGCTATTCCCAGCGCCAAACACATATCCGGCCGTGGGGGTCGTTCACCACCCAACGGGGCAGGTAGCATGAGCCCCGTTTCACAGATGAGGAAAGAGCACGGAGAAGTCAGGTAACTTGCCTAAGGCCAGGGACAGTGGCAGCAGAGTTGGGATGTGACCCAGCCTCCAGGGGCCAGCGCTTAATCATTACCAACCCGCCTCTCTCAGAGCAGGACGAGCTGTGCAAACAGCAGTCATTGATTTTTCGAGTAAACATTCCCCAAGCAAGTGCCAATCTTCCCTTCTTTTAAATTCCTTTTTCTCCTGTAACTGTGCCACCTCCACCATCGCCCTCACCCCCGGACTGCCCAGATTCACTGACAGGCACGTCCTTGTGTCCAGAACACTCCTCAGTGAGTTCATTGCAGGCTCTGATGAGCAGACATCCTGGGAACTTAAGCTGATATCACAGGTGCTCTTGAATTTTTTTTTTTTTTTTTGAGACAGAGTCTCACTCTGTCACCCTGGGGTAAAGTGCAGTGGCATCATCATAGCTCACAGAAACCTCAAATTTCTGGGCTCAAGTGATCCTCCTGCCTCAGCCTCCCGAGTAGCTGAGACTATAGGCGTGCATCACCACACCTGGCTAATTTTTCTGTTTTTTGTAGAGATGGCAGTAGAGGGTGGGTGGTGGGGTGGTGGTGGGGCAGACTCTCTCGCTCTTGCTCAGGCTGGTCTTAAACTCCTGACCTCAAGCAATCCTCCCACCTCGGCCTCCCAGGGAGCTGGGATTACAGGTGTGAGCAGACAACCTTGCCCGCACCCCCAGCCAAGTTAACCCCTTTTTACCCTCCATATCTCCAGAATGCTTTTCACAGGAATGACACAGCTCTTTACACACTAGCATGACTGTGACCATCCTATATAGTTCCAGGGTCTTTTTTTTTTAATAGGAAATAGAAAATAGGGTTCAAGAGCATATGTGTGGTTTTCAGAAATCAATCTGATCATTGCCATTCCTTCAAAATAACCTGCTGTACTGTCTGGCCTGAGGCCAACACATGAGACTTCCCCATGAAATGCATAATGAAAACCTTAACATGCCCAGACATACTCAGGGGAGGGAGTAATAGTGCTTGATCTTAGATTACAAAGAATTTTCCTCTGCTGGAGACAGTGCCTCTTTTAGAGAGCTGATCTAAATCAACATTTTTAGTAGAGTAAAGGGAAGGAGGACATTAGGGAAGAGCAGGTGGTCCTCCTAGGGCCAGGGGTCTTTCCATTGGGTGCTGTACCCGGCTGGCTCGCTAACGGGTGGGTTTCCTGCTGGTGACTGCTCAACTGTACTTTTAAGCCTGGGGTGCTCCTGATTGATGTCAATTGGCTCCCTCTGGCTCCTGCCGCCTTGCTGAGCTTGATGGACAACCTTGAAAGGTTTCTGGGGTAAAAGCTTGTGCATTCTCCTTGCAGATCGCAAGGAGAACTCTGAAGGCAGTGACCAGCCTAATTAGAGCTGCAGGCTTTGCTGTTTATATCAGGAGCACCTTCCTTCCACCCTTCTTGCTCTTTGAAGATATTCATCTAGCTGCAAAAACAACAAAACCCCCGAGCTCTAAAATACTGGGGCCTAGAGCTAATGGTTAGAAGACTCGAACTGGGAACCAATGGGGTCTTGGCTTCCTCTCTTCCCTCTGGAACATTCTGGGTCCACTGGAATCCCTGGGATGAACTCAAAACAGGCCCCTTTGTTGCTTGTTCAAGATCATTGAGAGGATGTTTAATAAGAATGCCCCAAACACAAGATTCCTAGAATGATTCTTTTAAACAGCAATCTGAGAGTCCTCCCTCTCCCCCTCCCCCTGCCTGGCCTCTCATCCCAGCCACTCGCCCTGACTTCTCTTTATTCTCAGGCCTTCGCATCTCCACTTGCCCGGCCCCACCTGTGCCCCGAGTCTGCCCTCAGGACTCACCTCCCACAGGATGCCTTTGGACACTGTCTCCTCTCTCCCCTCCCCACCCCGCAGGCTGGGCCCTGGCGTCCCACCCCACCGTGACCGGGCTTGGCCCACATGGCGGCACTGACCGTGGACTTGGCTGCCTTCTCCATGAAGCTCGAAGCTACCTGAGGGCAGGGACGGGCCCTTGACATCTTCTCCTCCCCAACTGCCAGCACAGCCCACAGCATGGGCCAGTTGACAGATATCCACAGAGCGGACGGATGAATCAACACGAGCAGGCAGAAAAGAAATTTCTGTGAACAGCAGATCTCAAAGTCTTGGTGGTGGTGGTGGGGGGGCATTTTTTATTAGCATATTTTCCAGATGACAATTTTAGTAACGTTTTCCCAGTCATAAAGTCCAAGACAAGCTTCTTGGTTCTCGACACGGAGGAGTAAGAAGCACAGTCCCTCGCTCGCCGCCCATTCACGCATTCATCCCTCCACCTGGGAGTTGCTGCGCCCCCACTGTGCGTCAGGCAGGGTGCGAGGGACCCAGAGGTGAACAGGCGAGGTGGGGCCCCCACGTCCTGGAGCGTTTGGCAAGGGCTGCCTGGGGAACAGGACTTTCCTAGCAATCGGCTTCCAGAGGACTTGAGAACTTTTAAGGACTCACTGGGATTCATGAGCCTCAAGGGAGAAATAGAAGCCTACAAATAACCTTGATCAAGAGTCACTCATGCCTGGTGGGGAGCAGCTATCTTCCCTGAAGGGAAGTGGGGACAGGAAAAGAGGAGGAGCGTTTCCGCAGCAGCTGCAGGGACCCACGTATGACCTCAAGAGAGCCACTGAAATGGCAGGTAGCATGTGCCGTGATGTCTTTGACCCACTGCCAAAGGGGGCCCTGCAGCCCCTCTAGACACCTGCGGGAAGGGGCAGCGGCTCTCGGAGGCAAAGCAGGGCGGGAAGCACAGCTCCGGGACACCTGCCACCTCCCGAGGCCCCGGCAAGTGCTGCCCATGCAGACTCAGCCTCGCACCAAACCAGCGCCAAATCCGGATTCCACAACTCGTGAGCCCGAGAACTGTGGGTCTCGGTTTCCACTATCTAGAAAAGTCGGTTACTACTGGCACCTCCTGGGACTACTGTGGGGAGTAAAAAGGAGATGATACGCGGTGAGGTGTTTGGCACAGAAGCTGTACGGATGTGGCTGGCAGAGTCACGATTATGTCAGACTGGTGTCACATAAAGGCTGAATGTGATAACCATCCAATGCTTAGCTCCATGGGGAGGCCTGGTGACTAACATAATTTATGTGTATAACTACATATAACAGTTATAATGCAATATAATGTCCTACTGTATAGCACACTGTATTAAATAACCAACAGTGCTAGTCCGCATTTATCAAACATCGAGTGCCAGTCCCTGTTCTAAACACTTCTCCTGTGCTAGCTCATGAGGAAGTAGGTCCTATTATTATCCTTATGTTACAGAGGAGGACATCAAGGCACAGAGAGGCTGAGCGACATGCCCAAGTCACACGACCAGAGACTTGTGGTGCCAAGAGTTGAACCCAGGCGGCTGGAATGCAGAACTCTTGCCGCTAACAAAAACTCAGCGTGTCAGAGGCGCCACCCTGGGTGCGTGATCCATAGCTCCCCTCCATGGGGCACCCGGGGCCGCTGGCTGGCTGCTCACCAGTCTGTCTCCTCAAACCACCACCTCTTCCTTTGAAAGCCCCCTTGGGCCTACAATCTGTGCCCACTTAGATTTCCAACCCGCCACCTCTATTTTCAGCCTGCACAATTCTCGTCCTCCATTGTGTAAAGATCCCTTCATCGTCTTAAAACACTCTGCTTTGCTCTTTAAGAAAAGCCCCTTATTTCTGGAATCTGGTCAAAGAGTTCACATTCCCTTACCCACGGGGGTTCTGAGTCATCTATTTCTAGCTCTGTGTTGCTTTTGAAGCTCAAGGAATTAAGACATTATAAAGTGACAGCAATGTCACTCTTGGCCTTTACTTCTAGGAGCACAAGCTGCAGTTTCCAAACCCTGTTGGGGGAAATGGGGCTCTTGGCACCCTCTCTTGCTTTGGAACCAAAGTCCTGCTTTTATCTGTTTTATGTACCTAGGTTTTGGGCTGAGGTTTCATTTGAAAAGGGTCCTTTTTAAGAAGAAGTTTGAAAACCACTAAAAAGCCCTACCACGTTTAGAATTACTGAACATATATTATTAAAGGCATGCTTAGAAACCACTGGTTTCAGACCTTTCTCTGGGTGAGAAATGAAGAGAAGGTAGGACCAGAGAACCGTCTCTGTGTCCCTTCCCTCCACAGTCTTTGCAATGCTCCCGAGAATGTCCTCAGGGCACAGGAACATCTGAGTCATGGCCATCCAGTTTCTCCTGCTAGAAGTTTCCACTTGACCTATCCCTGTCATAAAGAACACACTCAGCCCCAAGGAAAGCCTCATTCCCTTGGGTGACCATGGCAGTGCTGCCTTTAGAACCCCAATAAGTCATTATCTGGCTTCTAGAGTCTTCCAAAGCAGAATAATAACCAGAGAAACACAGTGAGCTCTTAACTGATTTTGAAAGCCCTGGGATAACAGGAAGCAGGACACAGCAAAGACAGCCGGACTTCTAATGAGCCTTACCTGCTTTTCGATGAAAGCATTGATTCTCTGTAGCATCCCCTCACATGTAAATTCATACGGCATGTACGGCTCAATCTGCGAAAACAGAACATGGTACCATGAAGGAGGACGACAGAGAACAGGCAGCGCTTACCCATTCCTCTACTGATTCACTCTACACACAGGTGCCAGCACCTGGAGGCTGCTTCATGAGGGTTAAGACTATAAGGCTGGAAGTTGACAGATCTGGTTCATGATCTCACTCTGCTCCTTACTAGGTATGGACCCTGAGCGAACTACTTGCCATCTCTAAGTCTCAAGTAGCTCATATGTAAAAGGGGGATAAGAAAAACCCATCTTTCTTAGGCTATGGTGAAGAGTATATGGGGGGCACAAAGGAGCTTAGTTCAGTGTTTGGCACATTGGAGGCATTCAACAAAAGTTGGCGATTACCACTTGCCAGCAGGTAAGCTTCATGGGGCAAAGTCCACGGCTAATGGGCCATCTTTGCACCCCACTGCAGAGCATAGAGTGGTACATGTGAGAACTTAGCAAACATCTGTGGAATGACTGCATGGTCTCCACTCTGAGAAAGGCATAAAATGACCAGTTTAAGGAACCATGGCGGTGACAAAGGCAATGGTCTGCATTAGTAGGTGAGGTCAGCACATACCCAAAGAACATGTGGTGCAAAATCAAAGTGATCAAACGTCACAAGGAGTTCAACTAGAGCAGGCGTCCTCAAATTACGGCGCACATGCTACATGTGGGTGTTTTTGTCCATTTGTTTTTTTACTTCAAAATAAGCTATGTGCAGTGTGCATAAGAATTTGTTCATAGTTTTTTTTTAAAACTATAGTCTGGCCCTCCAACCATCTGAGGAACAGTGAACTGGCCCCCTGTTTAAAAAGTTTGAGGACCCCTGAACTACAGGGTCCTGGGAGGTCAGAAGGTCAAAACTGGCTTCTGTTCATGCTGGGCTTTTAAGGCCAGCTATGAGTCTAGCAAGCTAGGACTGGGGCCAAGACTCCATGGACATAGTAGGTGGAAACAAGTAGTATGAGATTTGACAAGAAAGCACAGCAGGAAGCTGGAGCTCAGGATCATGGAGGCTGGTGAGACAAAGTTGAGAAGAAGAGTCATTGGATTTCCACAAAAGCCTTGACATTTCTATACTAGGGAGCCTAGCTTTTCTTTGAGGGGGAGCAGGAAACAGTAGAAGGTGCTTCATTGGGATGGAGGTGGCAATCTCATCAATATTGTGACACCTGAGGGAAGAGGAAGAAACATGGGTTTGACCTCTGTTGCACAGTGTTTGCCAACATCATGAGACCTGAGTTTTCAGGTGCATTACCAATCTGAAATGGAAATTTCACTTGGGAGAAAATCACCAGCAATCTAGTCCATTATAGCTTCCGAGAGCTCAACAGTGCCTGCGAGTAACAGGGAAGAGGGACACATTCACCAGCATACTCTCAAGTCTATGTTTACCTATCTCAAATCTACAGGGTGGAGGAACTGGACAAAATATCTATGAAATGAGTCTTGCTGAGTTGAAAATCAACAGAGAAGACATTCCTCAGTGGGCACCCAAGCAGCTGTTCCCAGGGCATCCTCTCCTCTTTTCTTGGGTTTTGAACCACACATTATATTTGAAATCATCTTCAAGCATGATTTTTTAAAATTTCATTATGTTTTCAAATGCACAAGAGGCTGAGCCGTAAGTGCTGTAATATCATGGCAGACTATTCTACCAGAACAGAGAGGGCACTCTATTCCTAGATAGCTCATTGCCAAAGAGCTCAAAATCCTTTGAAGAACTGACTTTCACATCCTCAGCTTGCTCCTTCTCATCTCAAGCTTTTGAATTTATTGTTCCTTCTCAGTCCCAGACACAGCCCTTCACATAATATGTCACATTTTTCTTTTCTTTTAAAGGTTATTTACTTGACCCATGGGGTGACCTAGAGGTAAGTTTCCTTCCAAAGATTCAGAGAAGGAACAAAAAGCTGCTCTCTAAAATAGAGAACATGGCATACCTGGGTTCATTTATCAGTGGAAAGTAGACTCTCGAGAGTGAGATAAACACTGGTGGTTATCTTTCATGAGACCAGAACAGACCCAGTTATGCAGTGGGAAGCGCACTGAGTATCCAAGTGCATGCTGACAACATATTCCAAAGGGCATCCATTAAAAACAAAATTGAATCCATTCAAAGGGCTCAAGGCAACACATATGGAAAAATGGTTCTTCCTTTGTTCTCCTACCAAGCCCAGTTTAACTGAGGGATGCTGACTCATTCATTGGGGCCAGTTCACTGTTTTAAAGGATATGAAGCCAAATAATTTTCCTATAAAGGAAAAGAGGAAAAAGGGAAATTGTATTCTTAGGCTGCCTCCGCCAGTGAGTTCACTAGCCATCCTGCTATGGAATGAAGCAGGCAGGGCCCTCTGCACGGGAATCTCTCCAGACCAGCCCTGGCTCCGAGAATAAAGGGCACAGGCGAGCCCCAAGGTGGGGGCTGCTGCATGGGTTTGGGGAAGGGAGGGGGTCAGTTTTCTGCATAGCAGTTCTTTCAGGAACAAGTCAAGGCCTCTTCGGGAGATGAATGAACAGAGAATGTGGAAACCACGTCCAGTCACTGAGAAACCCAAGGAAGGCCAGCTGAGGAGAAGCAAGGGGAGAACACTCTTATTCCATCCTGCTTTGTGGAAGGGAAACGGTTACTCATATGGCCAGGGCCACAGGAAGGATGCCTGCAGGCTGCACTGTGGAGTTTCTGCTGGCCCTGGAAACTTTCCATGATCTTCCCATCTTCTCCTCTTGACCTCCCTTCCTGACGGATTCCCTATCTCCACTCACTCGCCTTTCCAAGTCAGGGGACAACCCGGCAGAGAACTGCCCTCAGAGATCAGCCTCCATGAAAAACCCTCCATGGTCTGATCTGACACAGCGGCTCAGCATCATTCAACAGGAGATGGTCTTAGAAGGTACCAGAGGCCAGGCTCCTCTATTTACTATCCATAGGATTTTGAGTTAGGCAGATGCTGTCATTTCTCTTGATTTCAAATGTAAAGTAGGTCACATCATTCTCCTGTTCAAAACTTCCCACTATACTTACAAAATCCAGGATGGATCCTCATCATGACCTATTTACTTCTTAATTTTATTTATTTATTTAGGTTTTATTTATTTAGAGACAGGGTCTCGCTCTGTTGCCCAGGCTAGAGTGTCGTGGCATCATTATAGCTCACTGCAACCTCCATACCTCCTGGGCTCAGGTGATCCTCCTGCCTCAGCCTCCCAAAGTGCTAGGATTATAAGCATGAGCCACCATACTCAGCCTGTCATGGTCTGCCCCATATATTCTGGCTCCTGGGAACTTTTTTATGGTCTCTATTATTTCTGATGAGAAGTTGGTAATCTTTAATATCATCATTCCCTAAATGTAATAAATTTTTCTCTGGATGCTTTCAAGATTGTTTTTTCCTTATCTTTGCATTTCAGCAGTTTGATTATGATGTGCGAGTGTGTGATTTTCTTTATATTTATCTTGCTTGGGGTTTACCAAGCTCCTAGGATCTGTAGGTGGATGTCATTCATTAATTTTAAAAATTCTCTAGCCAGGTATGGTTGCACACTCCTGCAGCCCCAGCTACTCAGGAGGCTGAGGTGGGAGGGTCAGATCACTTGAGCCCAGGAGTTGGAGGTTGCTGTGAGCTAGGCTGATGCCATGGCACTTTAGCCCAGGTGACAGAGTACGACTTTGTCTCAAAAAAATTATAAGAAATGACAGTGACCTAGCATCTCTTAATTTTTCCTGGATAGAGCTTGAGCCCATTATCTGAAGTGAGGTGACACAAGATCGGAAGAATGGGCTCCACATGTACTCGCCATCAAATTGGCACTGACGGATCAGCACTATGGTGCTCACATGGTAGTAATATTCTCCAGGGATTAAAGGGTTGGGGGGCAAACTCACAACTAATGGATGCCGTGAGCATTGTAGACGGGAAGGGCATGCCTCTAATCTTTGCTTGGGTGAGGCAAAGACATAAAATGTAACCAAAATATGTGTACCCTCATAATATCCTCAAAAGAAAAAAAAATTCTTTGCCATTATCTTTTCAAATACTTCTTCTGGTTCATTCTCTCGTCCTTCTGAGATTCCAATTACACATATGTTAGGGTGCTTGATACTGTCCTGCAGATCTTATCTTTTTTTATTTCATTCTCTTTTCCCTTCAGTTTTCAATTTAGATAATTTTTTTAAAATGGAATCCTTGTATCAATTTGGATGATTTCTACAGACAAGCCTTCAAGGTCATTGATTTTTTCTCCCCTCTGCTGTGTACATTGTGCTGATAAGCCCACTAAAGAATTCTTCATTTCTGATAATATATTTTTCATATTTAGCATTTTCTAAAAATTTGGCTCAAAATTTTTTTTCCACCTCTTTGCTGAAATTCTCTATCAGTTCACATACGTTTTCTACCCCGTTTATCAAACTTTTAAACATATTTATCATAGCATCTTGAAGTTGCTATCTGATAATTCCAATATCTGGGCCATTTCTAGGTCTGGTTTTATTGACTATTTTCTCTGTTACTGATGGGTCAAATTTTCTTGGGTTTTGTGTTATATAAACTTAAAATCTTGGAATTAGATATGAACCCAAACTGTGTGTATCTAGCCTGTTCTACTAGCATCACTACCCTGGCTTCTCTGAAAACATCACAGAAAGTGTAAAAAGTATTCCCATCTGAGTAGTCCAGGGGCAGGGTGCACCTGATTGAGTCCATGGCAATTTCAAGGTTGGGAGAGAGGATAAGTGACATCATCCCCACTGGAGGGTAACCTTCCTACAGGTGTGAAGCCAGCCCCGTCTATGTTTATGGAAGTAAACACACCCCCAGGGGGCTCACAGTTGCTGTGTACAGTAGATACTTAACAAGTGTCTACTGAATTGATCAGATGGGTCCAGAAATGTTACTTTTACAAAATTCTACAAAATATTTAGGTAGAAAAACGAAATAAACAGATGCTTTATAAAAACATCGCCCAGTATTTCCTTATCCTTCTCTCTTTTTATTTTTTATAGAGGAAACAGGTTTATCTTTTCAGATCTTTGTGAGAGAGCAACATAATTAGCTCATTGGAGCAAGTATAACTCAAGCTCCTGCTCCTATACTAGGGACCCATGAACCACACCAAAGGGTCTGGAGAATCCACGTCCACATCTGGACACCAGTCTGTTTCCCCTTCACAGAACATCCATGAAATCCCCGGGCCTACAGCTTGGCGATTTTCTAACTCCAGGGTTAAGCTGATGTGGAAAAGTGGAATAAAAGAAACAACCTTCTGATTTAAAATTGCTTTCACTGCATCCTCTACTTCCTCTTGATTGTTGAGGTCAACGGTCCAAACGTGTGGCCGGCCGATGAAAACTTCAGCGTAAGGATGCTGGGATGTCAGCTGGAAAATAAAAAAAACAAAACACCTCAAAACCCATTTTTTAAAAGACCTACTGTGCCAGATGAAGCGCTATGCTTTTTACAGTGCTGAGTTGTACCTGTGTAGGTACCCTTCCCTTGGAGGATCAAAACCTCCTAAGCATTCAATAAGCAGCTAACAATAAAATAGTGATGGCTTCACATGTTGAAACTTACTTGGAAGAGACAGAATGTCACAAGCAGGTGACAAGGATGCTGTTATAGGTGGCTTTAACCCCCAACATCACACCCGGAAATAGTGAACATTTAGTGAACTCCTCACCATAACCTAGCCCTGAAAACCACCAAGATCAAACCAGTATCTATATCTTGGCTGGGATAGATAGGTAAGGAAAGTCACAGGAGGATGAGTAATGGTGCAAACAGAAGGTGAAAGACAGAGAAATGAAACCACTAGAAAAACACAGAATTTTTGGAATGGTTTCAGGAATAATAATTGAGCATCATATTTGGAAAAGCAAGGAATGGCAGTTTTTGTCCTAAAGGAGGTTTTAAGAACCAAGTGTGCTCAAAGAAATCCAGTGTGAATATTGGGAATTCTGAGTTCATGAAGAATACATCCTATTAAATGTAAGATACATAAATTTACTACTCAATTTTGTTTCTACCTTTATTCTCATATCCCTTTAAGGTCATAGAGTAAAGGAACTCAAGACATCTGTGACAGCATTTTGAGTTGCCACAGTGACCTGGGGTGCTACCCTTACTCCATGGGTGGGAACCATGGGTATGAGAAGCCTTGCAATGTTGGACAGGCCTGTCCAGGAAGAACAGCTGCTTCCCAGGCTACTTTCAAATGCACTACTGGGCTTTCATGTGGATTTATAGAATCCAACTCTTTGATACTGTTTTAACATACATTGAATTTTCCAGGAACATAATTACTGTGTAAACCAAGGGATAAACTCTGTTTTATTTGGAACTTCACCATCGAGGGGCATCACCATTTCAGAAAAATCACAGCAGCCCAGCCAATGCCACTCAGGACATTCATCTTCAGTAAAACATACCCCAAATCAGTGTGTATTTGTAAGCTATCATATTAATAGCAATGGTGTATGTGTGTGTGTGTGTATGTGCACTCTTGAGCTCCTCTTTGCATTCAAGCAAAAAAGACTGAACATATTCAGATGAATGTTTTATTTCTTTTAAATACAAACATTAATTGTGAGGAGCAATGAGCCATCAAATTGTCTAGTATAGCTCTTGGGTATGGTATAGTATAGTTCTTGATGACATAATACTGAAATATGCATTACTTTATTAGCAATTATTTTCCTTTATGTTCAAGTTAGGGAATGATTCTCTGGAAATTACATATGTAGGCAGGTTATATAACTTATAAATTTCATTTCAGGAGAGAAAAGTAGACATTATAATATATTTATTATATAATAAAGGGAGGTGTTGAGTCTGGTAGCATTGGGGCCTTTGGAAGCCAAGCTGGCCTTTTTTTTTCTTCTGACTCCAACATAGGCTACAGACTCTCTGCAGGCCCACAGATCTGGGAAACCTCTATTTTTGTCTTCCCATATTTTGGATTCAGCACATACAGACGAAGCCCTGGCTGGGCCGGGGATTGTACTGACCACCTGCACATATGTTACTCATCAGGTTTCTGGGGTACTGATGAGGATTTCTGAGATTCAGAGGGGTTTACACTTCCCCAAGACCACGTAGCCAGAGAGTGGCAGAGCCACATTCAAACCCGGATCCCTCAACAACTTATTAGCTTTAGACAAAGAGGAAGATGGCAATTTTAAAGGACATCACTGAGTTCTTAAGACAAAGACAAACAAATGCCCGATGTAAGGACCAGCCTTTTAATCACTCTCTTAAAACTTGCCAACCTAAATTCAGGACTGAATTTATGCTAGTATTAGACATTTCCTGAAGATGAGCAAAATGTCACATCATTTTCGTTTTGTGGCCTGAAGAACAAACTAATTAGTTTTTCTGATGGAAGCTGAGTAAATTAGAGTTGCCATCAATGTCGCTATTTAGTAATTTACATTTTAGCAGGCTCTCTCCTCTCCTCTTCCCCCTTTTAAGGTCGCTGCTTATTTACAAGGTTGCTCTAAGCACTTAGAAAATACAAAATGCTGAGCCATTATCATTTTATTCATTTACATTTATTGAAGGTTAATTTTATGAGTAAGGCATTTTTGTGATTCATTAGTTTCCCTCTGAATGTTATGTTCCTTCTTGTTAATTTATTGAGAACCATCTGATCTAAGCTACTTCATTGTATATCCATCAGTAAATTTACTGAAGTATAGTTTATAAAAATAATGAAAATCTTATTAAATATGAGACATGACTTCAGAGTGGCTATTAAATCTCCAAGGAGAACATGAGTTCTCTTTATTAGGAAAAAACCCTGAAGCCAGAGAATTTCTAATGGTTTACAAAATGTCAGAATAATGATCAAGAATCTACTAATATATTTCCCAATATGAAGATAATGGGCATTGCAGACTCAGAAGTGGGGAGAATGGAAGTGGGGTGAGAAATGAATAATTACCCACTGGGTACAATGTACACTATTCAGGTGATAGGTATACTAAAGAACCCAGACTTCACCACTATACAATATATCCATGTAACGAAACTCCATTTGTACTCCCTGAATTTATTGAAACAAGAAGATTTTTGCTTTAAGAGCTAGAAAAAAATATAAAAATCCAATTTATAATAAAGTATAACCTATACCAATCACATTACTTAAGGCATCATGAAACTTCTTCCCCTGAGTAGACATTGTGGTTTGAAAAACTGGTCCAATGCAAAAATAAAAACAAAGCTAAACTCACATTTACAAATCTAGACTTTTTCTTCTCTTCAAATAAAGGCAAAAAAAGACACATATATGCAACTGATATGGATCAATTTATGTGGATCTGTGGATCAATTGTTGCTTAACACGAAAGATTTGTATCGGCACAAAAAAGTTGCTTTGTAATTATGTACATTCTGGTTAAGATGTTTCCATTTGCTGAAGAAGAAAGAAACCTTCTAGAGATTTTTTTTTTAACCTTAGAAATCTGTAAAACTGCTGATGGCTCTTTCCCCATTAAAAGCATCTTTGGTTAGGAGGACATGGGGGGCCTTTGTGAGTTGACATTACAGAGCAGTGTGGCCCACCTGGCTGTGGGCCCAAGTTCACTGGCCCTTCTCAAAGCTGTCTGATGCTCCTAGAAGGAGAAGGACATCACATGGAAGCTCACTTCCCGCTGAAAGCAAACCGACCTTGGGCCTCAACTTGTCAGCATTCAGGCTTCTCAGGCTTGAGACCCCTGCCCCCCTTTTCCTTTACAGCACAGCCCCTCCACCTCGCCCCTTCTCGGCTAACCCTGCACATCAGGGGTCCGCAAACTACAGCCCTCGGGGCCACATGCGGCCCGCCGAGGACATTTATCCAGCTGACTGGGTGTTTTTGCCACCACTGACTGTCCTGCTTAGCAGCCCATTCCTACCAGGCCCACAATGCGCATGTGTGGAATGTGTGCTACACTCTCCAACAGCCCTCCAACGGTCTGAGGGACAGTGAACTGGCCCCCTGTTTAGAAAGTTTGAGGACCCCTGCTGCACATTCTCCACCTGACACAACTCCAAGTTCACTCCCCTCCCTCAATTCACTTAGCTATTTCTTTATGCACTTCCACTGATTATGCATCTGTCCTACCACTCTTCCATATCAGATTTGAGGCTCCTGGAAAACAGGAAATGTGTCATGATAAATTCCCCCAGTGCAGCAGTTAATACCACCCTATGGGGATACATTAAACATCCGTCAACCGCCCTCCTGCATCCTGCCCTCCCGGGGGAACCCAGGACTGATGGAGTCATCTGTGTGAAGCAACTGCTGAGCAACTTTTGAAACAATTCACAATGTCTTTCCAATGGAGTCTCATTTAAGGGCTGGTGGAGTCACCTGAAGGGACAGGAGGAATCAAATGCCCATGCAGCACCTCCAATACCTATTCTCTTTCTACACCATGAAGAACGAAAACCCTCCATGATCTCAGGGAAGAGTAAATTACTATATGGCAACTGATAGAAAACAATGAACATACTTCTTTTGATAACTTCATACTGACTATTCTGATCTATGCAACATTACATCAGTCATTGGACAATGTTTAGATTGTGTTTAAGAGTGTCCTAAATTTTTTTTTCAGGAAAAAATACTCAGTTGCCACAAAGTATCATCAAAATCTTTAGAACTAGTGTTAACAAAAAGGTGCTAATTGTCAACTTAGTCTAAGATACTTTCGATTCACTTCCAAAAGGGTTGCATATAGACACTACAGTAAGAAAAGACATGGGTTTCTTTGCCTTTCATGCATTAAAAAAAATCATGATGAGAGAAATAGAAAATCACCATCAGAACACCACAGTAAAAACTATTGCAGAAAAGCTTTACTGCTATTATATGTGATGCAATAAATACGTGGGCAGAAATCTCAATAGGATATTCACAAAGTCTCCAACTATTCCCCCTAAGCCAGAGAAAAACAATAACTTTATGGTAGAGAAATCTAGGAAACACTACCTTAACCAAGTGATCAGGGTTAACATCACCGTAATAAAACATATCGACATCATTTGGCCCAATACATGATGTGCTAAGAACACATAACTTCTGGAATATTGCCAAAAATGTGTAACCTCAAACTCATCATGAGAAAACATCAGTCAAATCTAAATTAAGAAAAAGTGTACAAAAAAAACCCCTGACCTGTACTCTCTATAAACATTAAGGTCATGGGTGACAATGAAAGTCTGAATTGTCACAGATTAGAGAAGACTAAAGAGATGTGACTATTAATGTCATGTGGGATCCTGAACTGGTTGCAGGAATAGAAAAAGGATCTTAGTGGAAAAACTGGTGAAGTCCAAATAAAATCTGTAGTCTACCAGCAGTCCCCAACCTTTTTGGCACTAGAGACCATTTTCATGAAAGACAATTCTTCCATGGACCGGGGGACAGAGGAGGGGAAGGACATGGTTTCAGGATGATTCAAGTACATTACATTTATTGTGCACTTTTTGCTATTATTATTACATTGCAATATACAATGAAATAATTATACAACTCACTATAGGTTGGGGACCCCTGGTCTGGACAATACCATGGTACCAATGTTGATTTTTTTGGTTTTGATCACTGTACTATGGTTCTGTAAAAGTTACCACTAGAGGAAGCTGGATGAAGGGTATACCTAAACTCTGTATTATTTGTGCAACTTTTCTGTATGATTAAAATTATTTCAAAATAAATAAAAAGTAAATTCTAACGAGTCTACTTATAGGTATATACCCCCAAGAATTGAAAGCGGGGACTCCAACAGATACTCATATACCAGTGTTCACAGTAGCATTACTCACAACAGGCAAAAGGTGGAAAGAACCCAAATGTCCATCAACAGATGAACGGATGAATAAAATGTGGTATATACATGCCATGGAATAGTCAGCCTTAAAAAAGGAATGAGATTCTGACATGTGCTACGACATGAGCAAACCTTGAAAACATTATGCTAAGTCAGTGAGCCAGACACAAAAGGACAAATATTATAGGACTCCACTGACATGATGTACCTATAATAGGCAAATTCATAGAGACAGGAAGTAGAGCACAGGTTACCCGGGGCTGGGGAGGATGGGGAGTTAGTGTTTAATGGACACAGAGTTTCTGTGTGTGATGATGAATTAAGCTCTGGAAATGGATCACGGTAATGGTTGCATAACATTGCAAATACACCTAATACCAGCAAATTATACACTTAAAAATGATTAAATGGTAAATTTTATGTAGTATGTATTTTATCACAAAAAAGTTAAAAAACATCACAGAAAATTACAAATATAACCTACAATTTGGGCATAAGAACTTTAGAGATTTCATACACCTAAATTAAAACCTATAGATGATTTTGGCATAAAAACAGACATAGAGACAATAAAACAGAACAGAGAAACCATAAATAAATCCATGCATTTACCATCAACTGATTCCAAACAAAGGTACCAAGAATACATGGGGAAGGAGAGTCTCATCAATAAACAGAGTTGGGAAAACTGGATCTCCACATACGGAAGAATGAAAATGGATCCTTATTTCACACCATAAACAAAAATCAACTCAAAATAGATTAGGCTTACATGTAAGAGCTGAAATAAGTACAGCTACTAGGAAAACAAATAGGGAAAAAGCTTCTTGACACTGCTCTGGGCAACAATTTTTGGATATGATACCAAAAGCACAGGCAATAAAAGCAAAAATAGATAAATGGGACAACATAAAACTAAAAAGCTTCCGCACAGCAAAGGATATAAACAACAGCGTGAAAAGGCAACCTAATGGCTGGGAGAAAATATCTGTAAACCATGTACCTGATAAGGGGTTAATATGCAAAAAATATAAGGAAATCCTACAACTCCACAGCAAAAAAACCAACAACCCAATTAAAAAAATAGGCAAAAGATCCAAATAGACATTTCTCTAAAGAAGAAATACAAAAGGCAAACAGATATATGAAAAGGTGCTCATCATCATCAATCATCAGGGAGATGGGAATCAAGACCACAAGGAGTATCACCTCCTGCCTGTTAGAATGGCTTTTATCAAAAAGACAAAAGATAACAAGTACAGACAAAAATGCAGTAAAAAGGGAACACTTAGACACTGTTGGTGGGAATGTAAATTGGTACAGCCATTATGGAAAAGAATACTGTGGTTCCTCAAAAAATTAAAAATAGAGCTACCATATGATCCAGACATCCTGCTGGATATATATCCAAAGGAATTAAAATCTGTATGTTGAAGAGGTACCTGCACTCTCATGTCCAGTATGGTATTATTCACAATAGCCAAGATATGGAAGCAACCTAAGTGTCCATCAACCGATGAATGGATAAAGAAATTGCACGTGTGTGTATGTGGGTATACAGGGAATATTATTTAGCCTGAAAAAAGGAAATCCTGCCATTTGCAACAACATGGATAAACCTGGAAGACATTATGCTAAGTGGAATAAGCCAGACACAGATGGACAAATACTGCATGACCTCACCTAAATATGGAATCCAAAACAGTTGAATTCATAGAAGCAGAGAGTAGAGTAGTGGTTCCCAGGGGTTGGGGAGTGTGCAGGAAATGGGAGATGTTCATCAAAGGGTACCAAGTTTCACTTGTGCAAGATGATGCAGATTCAAATCCTAGCCCTGCCACTGACCAGTGGGCGATGTGATCAGGTCACCCATGTCTCTGAGCCCCTGCACCCTCCTCTCCCCCTCCCACCCAACCGGGCTAGATGGAGGCAAGACCTGCATTAGCACTCAATAAATGGCTGTCATTCATATTACTGGAAAGTAGAATGATTTTGATAGATGCTTACCTCTCTCAGAGTTGGCTTGCCGATGAAAAAGTCTGTGTTTTTGCTGCTTTTGGGTGGGCTGAACTTGGGATTCAGAAAAGCACAGCCATTTGCGATAGCCTCCAGGGGAGCTGGGCCCTCGTAAGGGAACCCGAGTCCAACAAACAGCTGTAGGACAGAAGAACACACGCCACATAAGCACATCAGTCGGGATGGGCGTCCCCAGCTCACAGGGCGCTACTCTGTGGTCCAGCCCTGTGCGGATGCTTCAGAGGCCCTGGAAGGCTCCCAGGCCCTGGGGGGTGGGGGGTGAGGCAAAGAGAAGCCGGCTTATACCAGGATCTGAGAACCATAACCAGGGACGCTGGGAAGCTGTTCGGCTCACTGTGTTCTCCTTCTCTGCTAAGAAAGTAAAGAAGTAAGTGTTGGGGGGCAGCGGGTGGGTAGGGAGGTCAATGTATTAAAAGGAAAACAAACAACCACCACTACCAAGACCCAACAATCATCTTTCTGTAACTCACCAGGAGCCATGACTGGAAAAACACTTGCCTGACTGCACAGAAGGTTTCTTCATTGAACCAAAGGAACAACAGGCCCTTTCAGGGGTGCTGGGCGGAGGGACAGAAAGGTCACTTGGCAGTTTGATTACAGTTCAGACGGAGCCACTTGCAAACGATGGTAGGTCAGTCAACACGGGTTTTCATAATGGGGTTTTCACTGGGGGGGATACCAACATCTTGCTTTTTATTTCCCCCGTCCGTGGGGAGGGAGGGTGCACGGTTTGCTGAATCTGCAAGGCGGCTGCTCCCCCGTCCCGGCCAGCGGCCTGTGTATTCCCCGAGATGGACGACAGATGGCAGCAGCCACACGCTCCCGAAGTCCCCGGAGCAGCCGTGGCAGCTGGGAGCTGCTGTGACAAAGCGTGCATGCTGCAGCTCCGTGGTGCAGATTCCCGGGCCCCAAAATGAAATGACATCTCACAGAAAGCCCTTGCTCGCCTTGGACCCCGCCTCGGGGTGGCTCACACTGCAGGAGGACAGCCCGGTGCTGAGGGCGGGCAGGGCCAGGGCCTGGGGAAGCGTGTGTTCTTGTCCCCACGTGGAGGAGCCCTGCATGAAATCGCTCTAGCCCCCAGAGGCACATCAAGTGACAAAGAATAACTGGGCCCCAGGGCACCGTTTCCTTTTGCCATCACACGGAGGAGCACCCACACAGCCAGGCCCCGAGAGGGAAGGACTAGGGAGGATTCTCCTGTCCCCAGGCTTTACCTGATGATTATTCAGAAAGCAGCAGCTGCTGGGGCGGGGGGACCCTGGCCAGGTTGCCGAAGGCAGATCGTCTGTGCCGGGCACCCGACACCAGGCTAAGGCCCAGCACGGCCGAGTCTGACGTCTTGGAGAACCACATAGCTATCGAAGGAATCATGGGGCAAAGCACTAAAACCTCAGGTTTTCTGGAGATACTCCCTGTGTCAGTAACTTTGAGAACACAATGCCAGAGGCACCCACCGGGGGAGCGGGGTGGAGAGAAAAGACGCTTTGAGAGGCCCAGAGAGCTGCTCCTGCTGGCCCTGGGCCATTCTCCCCTGCTCCTGCAGAAAAGCCACTGGAGCCCATGGGGGTGAGGAAGATACAGGACAGCCAGGAAGCAGTAGGATAAAGGGAAATCTCTACCACCACTGGCAGGCCCTGCTACGGATCTTTTATCATTCAGCTCACGGAACCCAGACTGTTAGAGAGGACGTATGGGGCGTGGCCTGGAGATGTGGCTCAGGGGTAGGGGGAGATCTGACAGCTGCAGGGGACATGGGCGGAAGTGGTGGGACATACTAGTCCCAGGACGTTGCAGCTTTATTAAATATGAAGACTTGCAGGGCTGCCATCCTCAAGGCTTTGATCTCTGTGATCTGCCCTCCCCCATCGGACTTCGGAGAAGACCTGTCGGCTCTCCAGGAGAAAACAGACCACCTCGGTCAGGCTGTGGCCGGGCATTAAGATAGCACAGGGAGTCCAGACCTTCTTGACTCTGAGAAGAAAGGTGCTGGAAGATGCAGATCAGTGTCTCCATGGGTTCAGCCAGAGACCTGGAGCCTACAGTGTTTCCTGACCTCTGAAAATCAGATCTGCCATGAAGTGCTGATACCCTCATCAACTCCAAATTGCAAAGAACTACTTCGGGGGAAATGCAAGCAGTACAATGTTGTCTATTTAAATAGGAAATCTTGGGAAAAAAAATTTAATTAGCTTCTTTAGACCAACCAATCTGAACCCATTAATTAAAAGGATTTGAGGCTGTTGCTTAATGGACTTGAACGTGACCTAGGTTTAATTATATCTGAATAACAATATGCACCATCTCTTCTGCCCTGTGGGTGCCAGAATATCTCCGTGCACATAAAATAAACACTTTGGGCTAACTCTCCCAAGCCTCACGATTTTAGAATGATGCTTAAGCAAATACCACACAATTTCTTGGCAATGAATTTTCTTGTCACACTAATTAGGATTGCAGGAAATGCATTACTTGGAAACAGCAAAATAAGTTTTTTGTCACTTCTGTCAATAAGCAATTTTTCCTTTTGCCCTGTATACTCATTACCTGTGACATTACAATGCAGTGGATGTATTAAGGTCAAATAGCACATTTGCTGTTTGAATGACAACCGGGCAGGCAAAGAGAGTTCATCACTACTGAATGGCATTTGGTAAACACATGGGTGCTTATGGCCTTGCCACATATTGCTACCTTAACCACACTAAATTGTTTTCCCCCTAATCCCCTGCTTTCCCCATCATTCTGCCCACTTAAAGATTTCCTCAGCATGGAAGCAAGAGACACACTGCAAGAATGCACTCAAGTGCCAAGGCTTAACTCTGCTGGAGAAAACTGGCCGTACTTTATTTCTATTCCACCTGACCTTTGGAAGCCCAGAATCTAATGAGAATATTCCAGATGACAAAACATCTCCATGGCTGCAACTCCAGTGCCATCAATGAGCATTTCTAAACAGAGGGATTATACGCTCCAAAATCAATGTTTTGAACTAATGCTAATCAAGAAAGAACAGATGAAGCATACATTGCATTCATGGCATAGGATCAGGACATGCCTACACGTCAAAGAGTCCAGTAAAACCACTCAGAGTTTCCACACTGTGAAAGGAGAAATTGTTTTAAACCCCTAAGTGGAGTACTTAACAAATAATCCTTTAAACATGGATAAAGGTAGTTCTTATCCAAGGGTTTGGTCAATTTTCACTCTTGATGGGAGTGAAATATCAAAATAATCCAAAATAGGAGATGAACACTCAACATAGACTTTTCTGATCAGTTTTAATTAGCCAAGTTGATGGGGTGGCTCAGCAGGGAGATGTGAGCAATGACTCAAAACTCAGCTATCCAGTGAACTGATTATTGGCCAGAACAACATGGCGATTACAGCACATGCTCTGGAGTCAGACTGGGGTTCAAGTCCTGACTCCATCACTTCCCAGTTCTGCAACTGTAGCAAACTGCTAGATGCCTCTGTCTATGGATTCTGAGGCCCGTTTATAGTCTGTTCTCTCTAGTCACAGCACCTCAGTCAAGGTAACACAAGCTCTCCAAACCTCAGTCTTTTCATGTGCAAAATGGAGAAAATAAAAAAGATTTTTTTTCATGGGATTGCTATGAGGATTACATGAAATACTACATGGAAAGGATGTGTTCCAAGGCTTAGCACCTAGTGAATGTTCAATAAATAGTTGTCCAAGTTCAAATCCAAAGGCAACTTCGTGCAGCTGCATATCATGACCTTGTATCCTTTAGCTAGCATTTAGGTGTGCGGTGAGTTAAGTTTGTGGGTTTTTACAGGATGTTCAATGCCTGCATGTATATTTATGAGTTCTCACTGTTTGATAAAGTACCTGGATTGAAAAAGAAGGGGAAAGACATTCATCGGAAGAGAAAGATGAGGGATGATGTGATTACAGTGACTGGTGCACAGAAAGGCCAGTCCCATGAGTCACATGCTATTGCTACGCTATGTTTATTCCTCATACAATGATTGGGAATCATTATATTCCTAGTAATAGGTATCCCTTTTTTACCATTAAAAAGAACCCACACAGTGGCTGGGTATGGAGAAAACTATTTATTTTTCTGAAATGTGATGCTGTCCTGTAGGTCAAAGGGTCTCTCTCTGGCCATCTGTCTTCCCTCAGGCACCTGCTGCTGAAAGAGGGGACTAACAGTGGCCATGTTCTCTCCCGTCCTCTCACCGGTGGCACAAGCCCCTGACTCACAATACCTCAAGACTCTAGGGAAGAACTGGAAGGACCAAAGAGGTAAAGACAAGGAGACCTGTCCCGTGTGTCCAGGCACCCAAACTTTGTCAAAGTTGCCTGCTAAACCAAAGACTACTTCCTAGAGACCAGCTCACGGGGTTAGACTCCCCGACTATGCCCGGTTACCTAAATACCCTTTTCAGAAAGGAACTAAACCAAACCACAAGCAAGGGCATCAATCAAGATAAAAAGCTGGTCATTTGGAAGCCTCAATACAAAATCAAATGCACTACAATTTGCATGGTAAATTTATTAACTTGGAGTAACAGAATATTTGCATAAACTTCAATCTGAGGAGGCCGGACATGTCCAGCCAGGCCAGCCTGAAATGCTCACCACTGAAGGTCCACTCAAGCATCATCTCCTGGGGGAGCTTCCCCCTGCCCCCCACAGGCTGCTCTCTCATGCAAATTCCACACCAGGCCGACCCCTCAGTTCCCAGCAGGGAGGCAGCAAAACCCTGGCCTCTGCTTCATTAATAAGTTAACATGGGGTTATAACAGTGGCAGGATCATAGGATTTCTGTAATGGAGAGAGAGCTCACAGGAACGGCTTAGCACAGGGTGAAGGGCAGAGATAATGGCTGTGGGTGTGACAGCAAACCCCACAGGCAGGTGTCCACAACAGCACAGATGTGTTAAGCAGTGACTGGCAACGGCTCCGTCTCTGCAGTGGGACTACCCCAGCCATTTCATTGATTTCACAAGTCACAGCATCTCATTTTGCACAGTTGCATCATTGGCCCCACTTACAGCATCATGACGACGTCTTATGTCAGCATCATCATTATGTATTACTGGTAGTTCCACCTGCATACTTCTCATACTGTTACAGCTCCCTGCCTGTCGCCTCTAGCACACCTGTATGCTCCTCGTGGGCAAAACTGCCTCACTCACCCCTGTATCCAGAATGGCTAGACTAAGGCCTAGAATGCATGTAATACTTAAGATGTATTTGCTGGATAAATGAGTCAAAGAATAAATAATAACTAGATCTTCTCAGCAATCAGCGTCTCTGAGTGCGGAGGCTGAACACGTGTGTGTCCGTGTGTGGGGATACACGTTTGCTCTAGCAGTCAGAGGGGTTACTGAGTCACACCTCTGTGCGCTCTTCATTCTACACGCATGCATGGGGAGGGGCGGGATGGAGGCACGTGTGTGTGTGAGTGCCGTGTTTCCCTGCATGTATACGGCATGGGCAAGATTTAAGGTACTGCTCTCCAGGATGGAACCCGCTGGAAATGGCTGCCTGGGGGCGAACAGGAACCAGCACCTGCCACAGGAGGAGGGCGGCTCCCTCTCAGGAAGCAAGCTCTTGGCTGTCACCCACCCACAGCACCTGGCACCGTGGGCAACGTCACAGAGGGGCCGGCGTGGGGTATCAGAAGGGCATGTCCCTGCCGAGAGGATGTTGGTGATCTAGATCCGTGTCTCATGAGAACAAGACGACGTTCCAAAGATCCCAGATGGGCAGTGGAGTTCCTTCATTCTTTACATACTTATCTAAATGCCTTCTATAAGCCAGGCACTGTTCCAGGTGCGGGTACCTGCACACAGAATAAGACAGACCTCTCTGCCCTCCTGGAGCTGCAGGCAGTGGTGATGGGGGCTTTTGAGAGCGCTATTGCAACCACATCCAAGTCCAACGGGAAGAGCCATAGTTGATTAGGGACAGGGTGGGGGCGGGGGGAGTGTGGTCACGTATGAAGATGGGACAGTTCAGAGCAGCACACACTGCACATCTGCCAAGCCTGTCCCAGCTTCGTGGTGAGTCCCATGGGTAAGCTCATGAGCTGACAAGCTGGGGAGACAGGATGGTCTCGACCCACCTGCGTCTCGGAGGGGCAGCGATAGGAGGATTAGGAGAAAGGGGGCAGTAGCAGCTTCTCCTGGTTTTGCCCAGTCAGTATTTGCTTGCAAGCATAGAAAGAGAGGTACCTGGCCCAGCTCACAAACCACTCTGGTGAGCTCCGGACCCTCCTCTACCCCAGTGCTGGACACGTGTGTGCTAATCAAGGTAGTGTGTGACATAAGGAGCTTCCTAAAGGAAGACTGGGGTGGGGGGGGGCAGGAAGAGGTTACAACTAGGAAGGTGGAGGAGGAAACCCCATTAAAAGAGAAGCAGATTTAAGCCAAAACCAAAAACATGCCACCCTAGTGAGTCCTCATTTGCTGGCTAAAATTGCACTCCTGGAGTTCCCTGGACTGCATGACTCCTCTGATAAATAATTCATTCATCCAAATGTATACCCCCGTTCGAGGGGTCTTCTAGATCCCAACAACTTTGCAGCTTTTTTGGCCTCGATATTAGAATGGCATTGAATTCCTTTCATCTTCACAGGCCCCCTGAAGCAAGAGTCTGCTAACGACGCCTGCACCCCTAACGGTGGGCCAGGACAACATTCTGCTGAGCAGAGGGTTTCCTAGGCTTGGTGCAGAGATTCAAAGATGGCTTGTAAAGAAAAATAATGAGTCAGAGCTGATTAGGCATCTATCATCTCGCTCTGTCTCTAAGTCTCTGGAGGAGACCAGACTTGCTGCTCTCGCCCGTAACGAGCCCGAGGAGCGTGTGAACCCCATTCATTCCGCAGAAGGTAGCTTCCCGGCAGCTCCCGGGCTCCCCTTCCAAGGCGGATCGGAATAAATCGCTTTTAAATTGCTCAGAGACACGGAGGAAGGAGTGAGAGGCAGGAAGGGTTATAAATGCAAAGCCTGACTGGTCTTTTGTGTCATTATTTCAAAGCCCAAGGTTCATTCATTCGAGTGCCTGCTGCTGTGTTCTGGGCACCCGGGGAGTCTGAGCGATGCACTACCTCATCCTCATCATATTTGCCAACTGTTGGAGCCACAATCCCACGCGGAGTAGTTTAATATATTCTAGTCGGGTAAACAGGCAACCCGTAATGGGATCAGTGACATCCTCTAAAGGCACCAGGTTTTCAAGGATGAATGTGTACGCCCCTCGTGCTCAAAATTCACGCTGCAATCCTTGGTCATCAGGCAAACTCTGGTGTCGTGGCCTGGGCCTTCTGGGCCTCTTTTCTTGTCCTCCCCTGGACAGCAGGGACCTCAGTTTCGGCCTATTTCCTAGCCTCTGACAGGGGAAACGGACAGCAGGTATGGAAAGGTTCTTTTAAAATTTGCAAGGCCGAGCAAGACATTTACCAGGTTGGGTTAATAGAAGCGTGCGAGACAGAAATGGCACGCTGCTGAGAACCAGCTCTGCCAAATGTTATTTTAAAGGAACTGGAGCTTTTTCCATGCTCCAAAGTGGAGAAAAGTAAAATGAGGCAAATGGCAAAAACAGCTTTGCCACGAAAGGGCCAGGACATTCTGACGATTGCAAAATATCCACCTAAGATGGAGGGTGACGGAAAGCAAACCGTGAAAATTGGGGACATGCTTCACTCTGGGAGAGCCACACACAGCTACCAGACTACAGATGACCTTGGAAGGAAATTAAATCTTAATTAACACAAACCGGGTCTTTGGCCAAGGAGCTAAAGGATATGTCTGACTATTTCATTCATAGCTTCCTGCAAATGGCTTGGAGGTGGAAAAGATCAAATACATTGACAGATGGAGAAACTGAGGCAAAGGGGAGATATACATTCTTTTGGCTAGTGAATGCCCACTACGTGCTCTTGAGTGTTCATGAGTAGGGTACACTGGGGGCCTGGGAGAGCTTAAATTTGCTATTTAAAAAAACCCTAAGTTAGGGCTACCTCCAAGACTTGACCCCAGTTTAGCGGGGGTAAGCCAAACTCTCTAGCCTATTTCCTCATGTCTAAAATAATCCCTGCCCTGCCTACCTCTCATGGCTGTCGCGAGAATCAGAGGACAGCGTGTGAATACACTTTCTACAAGTGAAGTGCTGCATGACGATTCGCAATCAGTATTATGCCACGGAAGTCGATCTGCTCGACCTTTCCTGCTAGCTTGGACGTGAAAACAGTGAGCCAGAAACCAGAGCCGAGGAACCCACTATGGGAAACACGCTTCCCTGCGCTTCAGGAAACACTGAGGGAGGGACCCACGTGCCGCCTTCTCTCGTATCCCTTGCACCATGGCTGGCACACAGCAGCTGCTCAATAAAATCTGTAAGATTCATAAATAAGAACGTATTACCAAACGTGAGGGAGCTTACCTAAATACATTAAAGTGCCAGCCAATGCTTCAAGGTCAAACTCTGGTTTATTCACAGGTCCCTGAAGTTCATTTGGTACTTCCAGGATTACAGAAAGGACACAGACCGCTGAGTGGGCTTCCGCATGTCATCATGCAAATTAACCCTCCACGCCTCGCCAGCCGCCCACACCACACGGTCTGAACTCTGCCTTGCCTGTGACAATCAGACCGTCATCCCCTTACCCAATTTTATCTCCCACTATTTTCCAACACGTAGACTAGCCAGGTTGGCTTCTAGCTCCGTCCTGAATAGGTCATGGGCTCCTCCGAAAGGCAAGGTGCATCCACACGCCACCCACCTTTCATCTTCTGTGTCCCTCCTGATACACCCCCCGCTCTTTGAGCCTGCAGGGACTTTTCCCTCATCTGAATTTCCTCAGTGTCCCATATGTACCTATTGAAGGGGGAAGGGCGAGGACAAGCTGGTTAGGGGAACACATGCTCAGACAGTGATAACTGAGTAGGGGTTGGGGGTTGCCTTCAGTACCTTCGGCTACTGCCCTATCAGCAGGTCCTTTGATAGGTCCCTCTGTCCTATCAGCAGGTCCTTTGATAGGTCCCTCTGTCCTATCAGCAGGTCCTTTGATAGGTCCCTCTGTTCTATCAGAAGGTCTGTCCTTTGAGGCGGGGCCTTATGTTTCTCATTTATGGCCTTATCCCCAGCCCTTGCTTGATGCCTTGCACAAACTAGGTCCTCTGTAAATATGTTTTTTTTTACTTAATCAATGAACAAAACTGAGCAATTTCCTTCCACAATTCACTATCATTCCAGCTACCGCTGGTCTAGCAAACCGCCGTCCCCAAAACATTCTAAAGAGCTCTTGTGCATTGAAAAGCAAGCATGAAAGATTCCAACTCCATTTTCAAGGACAATGGAAACAATCTATAAACCACACACCCAGTGAATTTTTATGAAACTACTAAAAACTTACCTTGGTTTCTCGGAGAAGAAACTGCAGGTCCCGTCCACTGAGGATACCGTGGTTTTTTACGTAACTGGGAATGTTCTTGGTGCTGGAGCCGTAAACAGTCGCATGCACTTCCATGTATGTATGAATGATGTCCAAGTAGATCTTCTTATTCTAAAGAGGAGACACAAGCAGGAGGCATTTCTCTTTTCCGTTCATTCGCGTAACAACCTGTGGCACAGAACAGAATCTCTTCTGCGAGCCAGAGGCCACAGAGATAGGAGTTCTTAATATGGAGACCACGGGAATCTGGCAATCCAACTACTAAAATTTCTTTTTAAAGTAATTTGGCTGGATTTTGAGGGCAAAAATAGTCATATGGCGGCTGTGCAATTTTGCAAGAAGAAACACGTTATATGAAAACATATTACTGAATACCAACCACAGCTCACGGCCAACAGTTTTGAATTATCGTCTTTGCCTTTGTAAATTACGAGGGACCCAACAGTTGCTTTTGGCTAATCCTACTTATAGGAGAGGAAGTTTGGGGAAGGAAAACCGAGAGAAGCCAGTCGGTTGGACTGGAATATTTATCCAGAGATGCTAAGCTGTCCCGGAGGAACACAAATATCCTCTGCTCTCGCCAACGTTTCTAGTGATGATTAACTCATGTTGTCGGAACTGGATCCCACCTAATTCGGATCATGGGAAGATGAGGGTTTCCCACAGCTGGAGCGATAATGAGACTATCCAGGTAGACGAAAGTAGAAAAAGAGATTAAAATGTGAATTTTGATGAGCCCTGAAACATTCAAGGAGTGTTACTTTTATTAGAAGCAAAACCAAAACCCCTTTCCTGTATTTGTAGGCACTGAATGTTGAGGCACATTTTCAGAATCAAAACCGCTTGCCAAGTGGAAGCAAGTTCACTTTTTCTACCTCTTCATGTTTCTGTGGCTAAATCACACAAGCTAGATTTTGTGGGTTGTTGTTTTTGGAAATTTGAACAAGTCAAGCTCCGTAATGTTTTCCAGTTGTATAAAAGTGGGACAAGGTTTTCCCATTCTAAGCCTGTTTTCGGACGCTCCAGGCAAATCTAATAATAGCTGGTTTTGTGACTTAAGACCACAAGGAACGCAGGGAGGTGGCACCAGCAGCTACAGCATGCAGAGGGTGGGGGAGGCGGGCTCTGGATGAGACGGTTCACAATCTGCCCTCTGCCATTCACTGCCCTGGTGACATGACACAGGGCTCTCACCTTTGAGGGAAACCTCTTCCAAATGAGGTAACCAAAGTCTTTAGGACTGGAAAAACAGCACAGTCCACATTTTCCATTTTATGCACCAGGATAACTTTGTTCACAACCAAGCAAGCCTATTCCTGCCACTGTAAAGTAGGAATAAAATGAACACTTGGACTGCAAGTTCAATTCCATGCCACGTTCAGAGTGGCTGCAAGATGCTGAGTTCACTACTTCAGAGACGTATACTTGCATTAGCGCAGAGTGATGATGGAGAGGTTATGAACCATGACTTCCCATTTGTAGCTTGAGCTGAATTTAGTGTCGCCTACCTGGCGTAAGTTAATTTGAAGGGTTCTAGGATGTGGCTCTTGTCCTACACGTATCTGGTAACTCCTGTCCCTGTACCCCCGCCACCGATGACGAGCCTCGGGTTGTGTGTGACCCGAGGGGACCCATTCCTGGGCTGGCCAGCAGCCCAGGAACGATGTGGCCGGCTCAGGAAGGCAAAGGGAGCCAACTAGACCCTCTCTGGGGAACTCAGAACCCTGCACACAGCGAGATTACTGCCGGATGGCCACGGGCTTCAGAGCAAGGAGGTCATTCAGAGACCGAATTTGGGCAATGATAGGCCAGACGACAAGTTCTGAGGAAGCCAGTCACCAGTGTCGGGGGGTGGGGGCGGGAAAAGAACCAAGAGCTGAAGGAAAGGAGAGGGCAGGACAGACAGACAGTAGTGACAGGGACCCAGAGAGTAACTGGGATGTCATCCCTGTGAAAGCTTGAGAGACAGGGGGAGGGGGAGGGACAGAGAGGCGGAAGGTAGGGGAAGAGAGAGAAAAGAGGAGAATAAGGAGAAAGTTTGGGGAAGGAAGTGAAGGAAGAAGAGGGAAGAGAGAAAAGCAAGCAGAGAGACAGAGGAGAGGAATCAAAGCCCGGAGCCACTGTAGTTCCAGCCCAACCTGCAGCTGTTCCTTATTCTACACTCCCCAGGTCATTCTGGGTCCTTAAAACAACAGCAGCTCCCCACACTCTTCCCAGACCCCTTCTTTTATTTGAATTACTCCCAGTGGATTCCAACCATCCAAAAGGAGGCCTCTGTGGACATCTTGCTGGCCTTAAAGCAGAGACTGGGAGGTAAGGGCGGGACACCCATCTCTTCTTTATGCAAAAGGAGACAATTCCCTAGAAAAGCGAGCTGCCAACTCGTGACAATGGACCAAAAGCCCCCATTCTAGGTCTGCGGTGAACAGTGAATGGCCCATCTGGTTCCTGTCCTGGACAAAACACTCACTGCAGACAGATTCAAGATTAGGATTCCCAGACTAAATGCCCTGCCGAGAAAGGAGTATACTAGGTTACTCATGTATTGCCATCGAATCCCAGAAAAGGGTGGGGCTCCCTGAAGTATAACAAGAGGGCAAGTTCAGGCAAATATTAGTCTTTATTATGTAAAGACTAATAAGGTCTATGAACTTATTAACATTAAGCATGGTCTGAAAGTACAACGTACCTTCAAAGAGGATTTATGTAATTTCACGGATGAGAAAATGCCAACGGGCGATTAAAGGACAAAAATGTTTCAAGCATAATTTTAACCTTTGATGTTGATGTGACAATGAGGTGATTTCACCTCAGGTCTCCTGTTGCCACCTGTCAGAGTTCTACAGAAATCTGGTCAAAGTGAACCACACTACCTACTCCAGGTGTAGGTGCCTCAGGAGTCTCTCACACTGAGCCACCCCTGGCCCCGAAGTTAACGTTCAACTGGATTCTAAGGAACCCAAAAGGCATCCTTTGGCTCAGATTTTGTTCCTGAGTTATCCAAATATCCTGAACCTTTCCCACCTGCTGTGCGGCAGCCACTGCCAACCCCGCAGGTCAAGAGGGAACCCCGTATCCTGCCCGACTGGCACCCCTCATCTGCTCTTCAGCTCGGTGACTGGTGTCACGCTCCCAGCCAAGTCCCTGCACCAGAATCGCACTGCCCCCAAACCCCTGCCAGCACACACACTGAATCAGTCTCACAGTCCTGTGGATTCTGCCTCCGTAACATCAAATTGGTCTCTTCCTCTCCAGGCCCTGATCCTCCCTCACCTGGATTATGCCAGGATTAATTAGCATCTTAATATACCTCCCTGTGGCTCAAAAGGTGATGCAATTTGTCTAGGATTTCTCCAAGCAAGCAGCAGTGCTGACTGAGATGACTGCAAGAGAATTTGTATGGCTTGATGCTGTTTTTGAAAAATTTTTTAACCATGCAAAGCCATGCTATGCATATGGACAATGTTTACACATATGAGCACTGTAGTTACAGTATAAAAGTATGCATGAGGATGATAGGCACCAACTTCCAGAAACTGACTGAGGAGAGAGGGAGGGTTTGGGGGAGGGGGGTGGATGGAGCTTTAGCAGTATTTGTAATATATCATTTCTCTGCTAAAAAATATTGAAAGATATTAGAATCTATAAATCTGGGTGATAGGTATATCGATGTCTTATTTTTTAGACTTCTCTATATTTTATATATTCTAGTTAAAATACAAAAATTTAAAATATATGCAATCAAAAAATGAAAACCAGTCTAAGACTCTAAGGCTTGCACCACGGCTGTCACACCAGAAGGCTCAGCTCTTGCCATGAAAGTGTTCAAAGGATCCCCCCTTCTCTCTTTAGTGTAAACTCTTGTGTGTTTAAGAAGCAGAGTACTCGGGTTTCTTGAATGAAGGATGCCCCTTGTGTGCCTTTCCCCAACCCATGGGATGGACCAAACTGGGGAAAGGGAACAGTTTAGGGGTGGGGACATTTTCCAGCACACGTCTCCCCCAAATCCTTCTCTGATTTTGGTCATCCAAGCCCAGGGTGATGGTGACACCATTGACCCGAGTGTCCCACTGGATCAAGATCACTCCCTAAAATGCTTCCCTTCCTTCTCTGACTTAAGAGGCAAAGGTCAAAGAAAATTATCTACTCCAAAAACTCTACCACCTACAAATCTCTTGAGATGCAGTCAGAAGGAGCCTGCACTGAGTATCACACCACAGCATGCAACCACCCCATCTCCCAAAGGTTCCAGCTAAGCAGCCCGCAGCGCCTAATGCTTCCAGTCTCTAGTTCAATTTAAATTCCCATTAAAAACAACTGACTTAACTGATTAAAATTTAAATCTACCTAAGCTCTCGGAGGGGGAGGAGATGCAAAGGAGAGCACCAGCTAGAGTCAACAAGCAGTGCTATCAGCGTCTTCAGTTGTCTGAGGCTGTAGCTTGAGGCAGGTACACATGCAAAACTGGTCGTAAGATGTTTACAGCTTGGTGGAAACCTTCAGGAAAACAATTCAATCTAAGCAACACTTCTGTGAGTCCACAGCAGGGGGAGGTAGAATGCAGATCTGCGGAATCAGAAGCTCTTTCCCTGTTTAAATTTTTACTGATACATAATAGTCCATTCTTATGGGGTACATGTGATATTTTGTCTCATGCATACAATGCGTGATGATCAAGTCAGGATACTTAGGGAATCATCACTTTGAGTGTTTTATCATTCCTATGTGATGGGAACATTTCTATTTTGAAATGCACGATACGTTGCTGTTAACTATAGTCACCGTACTCTGCTGTGAAACTCTGGAGTTCACTGCTTCTACCTAAGTGTGCGTTTGTGGCAACTGACCAACCTTTTTTCTTCCCAGCCTCTGCCGCCTATCATTCTACTCTCTACCTCCATGCGATACAATTTTTTAGCTCTTACATATGAATAAGAACATGTGATATTTGTCTTTCTGTGCCTAGCTTATTTCATTTAACCTAATAACCTCCAGTTCCATCATGCTGCTGCAAATGATAGGGTTTCATTCCTTCTTATGCCTAAATGGTATTCCACTGTGTTTATGCACCACGTTTTCTTTTTCCATTCATCTGTTGATGGGCACTTAGG